CCTTTCATCAGTGACTCAGGGTCACCATTGTGAGCACTCTGCCCTATTATGTGCACTTCAATATTTCTGTCACCTCCCAGTGTCAGTTTGTCAGCAGTCACTTTTCCTTTACTTTGCTGTGTTGGCCTCCAACAGCAACATTCCCATTTGAGCCACTTTTCACCCCTCACCCACTCTTCCTGCCCTTTTAGTTTGTAATTTCCAGTGTGCTGTGGCCTTAGGAAACCAAGCTTAGTCAGTGAAGCAATGATTGAGAATAGGGAGAATGAAATGCAAGCGAGTATTCTTGGCATTTTCTTTTCAGATCTCCAGAAAAGCCTGGCAAAACTATTGGTTATTGAAGCTGATGTATGTGTCGGGGGAGGGGAAGGGACAGGGCTAGAGAGAAAGGCAAGTAGGTATATGAGAGTCATTCAGAATTTTATCTGTCAGGGATGTATGTATTTGAAAATGATGATTTTCTTTTTTCTCCAGCTGGTCCCCTTTGATCTTTCATGAAACATAGGAAATATGCAACTTACTGCACTTACATTTCAAGAAAAAAAATGTGATTATTGAAAGTGAATAGCGATTTTGGAAATCACTTCAGTAGTCTTCATTTTGGAAGTGGTTGGGGAGGCTGTTCACTGGGGATTTTACAGAAAGATTTATAGGCTCAGCACTTGTTCTTTACATGCATTTGGTTGAAGACAAAGTATTGATACAGGCGGAAATGTAGGGAAATATAACCTGATTAGATTATTAATAAATGCGCCAGCAAAGTACTTGAAGTAAAAGATTCATACTGGTAACTTTTGTAGGCAGAAAACAAGGGAAAATGCATAATGGAGTAGAAATCAGGAGAATATAAGTTGCAATATAGTGGTTTTCTGGGGGGGTTTTATTCTGTGAGAAGGGTATGAAATTTTGAAGTAAGTGAAATCAGTTTGAAGGTTGGCTTTTGTATTTGTTTATTCTGTTTCTTCAGTGTGTCATGTATTTGAATGTGCTTTTAAAGAAAGAAAAAAAAAAAGTATTGGTTTTGAGCCCCAGAAAGCATTTTGAGGACCTGTAGTGCCTAAAAACAAAGAATCAAAGTAATGAAAGTTTGGGGGAAATGGGTCCTAAAAAGGTTAAAACCAAAAATATAAAGAAATGGTGTTTAAAAAAACAAAAAGAAATGGTGTTTAATGCAGGCATCAGTTCTTTTGTCCACTAAGTATCAGACAAATGAAAATGGGCTTAGCAAGAATTGAAGGCTAGAAATTTAGAAAGGTTTGTTAGGTGTTCCATGTAAAGAGAATACAGATATATTCTTTCACTGCCTGTTCACATCCTCATGGAATGAATAGAGACCTATAAGTGAACTAATTGTTTTTTTTTTAAATCTTACTTTTTCCTTTGTGTATTGGAATAATAAGGGAAAACAGCACAAATGCAGTCTTAGAGATAAACCAAAATGTTGCCAGCATTTGTTTTATTTCAATTTGTGCTTTTTTTTCTAATTTTTAAAAAATTATACATTAAAATCATATTGTATATACAGTAGGCTGCTTTTTTCACTTATATTGTATATAGATACGTGATTTTAAAATGTCTTTATTTTTCTACTCATTTTTCTAGATCTAAAAGAACTCAAGCAGAGACCTTGAAACTAAAGCGGATCCAAAAGGAGTTACAGGCTCTAGATGACATGGTGTCAGCTGATATTGGAATCCTCAGAAACCGGATCGATCAGGCCAGCCTCGAGTATTCATATGCTCGGTGAGTTGAGAGAACTCTGAACCAGGAGTCAGAGTAAATTAATGTTTATTGCTAGCTGGGCCAGGAGCTTTCAGGTGTGTCGTCATTGAAGCCTCATAACAATACCGTTAGGTGCTCTATTTATCCCTATTTTGTATTCAATCAAGTGTCTCTTCTTTTTGAAGTCTTCCTTAACTTCCCCCCATCCTTGTTCATATTCCTGTTAGAGCGTTTCTTGCATTATTTATTTGCATTTTAGTCTTTCTTGCTAAACCATCAGCTATGTAATGTTTGGGACTCTTAAGTGTCTATATGACTTGTCCCCAAATTCTATTATTCTAACACCAAGTCCATAATCTTTCTATTAAGGAATTTTGATTATCTGAGATGGTTCTTAGAGATTATCCTAGTTCTCATTTCAGTTTTCATCAAAGAAAGAAGACCTAGTTTATTTTTTTAAAAGCCTTATGAGTATTTTTTAAAAAATTTTATTTTATTATGTTATGTTAGTCACCATACATCGTTAGTTTTTGATGTAGTGATCCATGATTTATTGTTTTCGTATAACACCCAGTGCTCCATTCAATACGTGCCCTCTTTAATACCCATCACCAGGCTAACCCATACCCCCACACCCTCCCCTCTAGAGCCCTCAGTTTGTTTCTCAGAGTCCATAGTCTTTCATGGTTTGTCTCACCCTCCTATTTCCGCCCCCTTCATTTTACCCTTCCTACTATCTTCTTCTTTAGGAGTTTTTAACATTTTTATTATAAGCTACAACAGATTCAAAACACTGCATAAAGAAATGTGTTTCTAATAAGAATTTTAAAGTGTTGATTTGCCATTAAGTTCTTAACCCATTTGGAGAATGTTTTGTTTGTTTTTATATGGTGTGAGGTATGGATCTCATTTTATCTTTTCCATATAGTAGTTTTTCCTCAAGTCCATTTATTGAATGATTCGACCTTTTGCTCTTGATAGGCCATGCTATCTCAGTCATATACCAGTGCTTCATACCTGTATGAACCTGTTTCTGGGTTCTTTGTTCTATTTCATCGGTTTGTCTATTTCTGTGCTCTCTGTTCTGTTCCATTGGTCTGTTTGTCTATTTTTTTCAGCATACCCACTGTCTTTATTACTGTGGCTTTAAAGTGGGTCTTGAAGTCAAGTAATGCCAGTCTTCCAGTTTTGTTCTTCACGATATTATGTTAGCTATTCTGAGTCTTTTGCCTCTCCATATAAACTCGAGAAGCATTGTGTCAGTATGCACACGGTATCTTGGCTGGGATTTTGATTGGGATTGCAGTGAATCTATAGATCAAGTTGGGGTGAACTGACATCTTGACAGTATTGAATCTTCTACTCATGAATATGGAATATCTCTCCATTTAGTTCTTTGATTTCATTATCAGAGTTTGTAGTTTTCTTTATAGATCTTGTACTTACTTTCTTAGATTTATTCCTAAGTATTACATTTTATTTTTTTTTTTAGTGCTAATGCAAATAGTATCATGTTTTTAACTTCAGATTCTACTTGTTCATTGTTGGTACATAGGAAAGCATTTGACTTTTGTATATTAATCTTGCAGTCTGCAGCCTTACTATAATGGCTTATTAGTTCCAGGAGTTTTTATATCATATGTTCTGTTCTTAAGTGGACTGAATTTGTTTATTGTTTGGTTTATTATTTGTTACTTGTTTATTGTAGCAATTTTAATCTCATACGCAGGTTCTGTGAAAATGCAAAATAGATTGGAAGCTGCAGTACTGGATTTCATAGGGACTATTAATTCAGCTAAGTGAGTGTAACTGGGAAGTAAACAGACATTTTCTGATGGTGTGAATAGAGATCAGTGGTTAAGAATAAGTTCCTGTCCTAAAATAGACGAGGCTACTTTGTGTTTCTGGCAAAAGTCAACAAAAATAACATTTTACTTTTGATGGTACATCTGTCTTTTAAAAGTATTTTCTTTACCTATCTCATTTAATCCTTACACCAATTCCATGAGTTAAGTAGAGCAGGTAAATTTTCAACCCCTTTGGCATATGAAGAAACTGAGGTATGGAATAATTAATTGACTTGCCTAAGGTTATTGAGCTGGACAAAAGCAGTACTAGAGCTGTGACTCCAGAGCCTTTAATTCTCCTTTGGGAGATTTAAATACTAGGCTTGTGTTGCTTCAGAAGTCAACGTGCAGAATTTTAAAAGCCCTATTTAAGTTCATTTACAAGGACTTATCACAATTTCATTTCCCAGGTATTTTGTAAATAATACCATTTACAGATCTTATTAAATATTGTGTGAATGTGAGTAAATTCTCCAGTACTCTGTCTTAAAAGGTTAACACTGGTATAGACAACCCAAAAAGTATAATAGGGATATTATTTATTTTATAGTGCTTTTTAAAAAAATTTCTCCCAGTTGTTTTATCTTCCTCTATTGGTTTGCTTAGACTGCTATTAAAATTAGCTTGTGTGTATTGATTAATGGCTAACTGACTTTGGGGAACACAACCTTGCACTGCTCTGGAAAATGAAAGCTAACAATTGAGGGTTAACTAGCATTCTTGGAAAGAAGAGATTTCATTCAGTTATACTTTATGCATTACATCTACCTGTGTATCAGATTGGCCTAAGATCTGCTATTATTTAAGAAAGGTGCAGCCCATCTGTAAACGCAACCACCATTTTATTTCAGGAGAGCAGATAGAATCATAAATCAAATTTAAGACCTATCAAGAGGGCGCCTGGGTGGCTCAGTTGGTTAAGCGACTGCCTTCTGCTCAGGTCATGATCCCAGGGTCCTGGGATCGAGTCCCGCATCGGGCTCCCTGCTCTGCAGGGAGCCTGCTTCTCCCTCTCCCACTCCCCCTGCTTGTGTTCCCTCTCTCTGTCAAATAAATAAATAAAATCTTAAAAAAAAAAAAAAAAAAAAGACCTATCAAGAATTCATTTGTCTACTTTGTTTGGTCAGATTAGTTGATTCTTGAGGCAATTCTCAATTCAAGTTGAAAAAGAAACCTTGTTTTTTATTCTGAGGCCTAACTCAACAGACAAATGGACTTCTTAAGGTAAATTTTGAGTTGGGACAGTATGATTGGAGAACTGTTAAAACGCTACAGGAAAATGGCTGTTTTTCCCTGGGCTTTTGTGGTAGAGGGGAGAAACCCTGTAGAATTATTATCAAAGCTTAATGTTAATGCTTTATTTTCTTAGAGAAATTCTAATTATTTGCTGCTCACACAAGGGAATTTTTCTCCATTCTCTTTTTCACACAGATCCGTCTGAACCACAGCGGCGTCTTCCTGTGAAGAAAAGTCGACAACAACTTCAGCGAGAAAAAGCCCTTCAAGAGCAAAGCCAAAAACTTGGACTTCAAGATGGATCAACCTCAGTACCTCCAGAGCAGCTGCTTTCTGCACCAAAACCAAGCTTTAATAGTCCAAAACCACATTCTTCTTTCCCTCTTCCTTCTAGTCCTCTTACACTCACCTCTCCTGTTGGTGATGGAAAACCACAGGGTATTGAAAGTCAACCAAGGGAACTGGGACTTGAGAATTCCCACGATAGTCACAAAAACGCCAGGATTCTACCCCCGAAGCCAGATTGCAAAATGGAAAAAAAGAAAGTGGAATTGTTAGTAAGTCTATATATCCATGAGACTTTTTCCATTTTACTTTTTTTTCTCCGTTAGGCTTTGAAGAAATAGTAGTTTTAACATTTTCTTTTTTATATTCTGACCTAGAGGTGTAATGGATAACCTGTTAAAGATTAGCTACCCCCTAAATGTGTTGTAAACCAGTCAGTGTTGGGTATGTTATACATGTTATGTCACTTAGTCTTTGCAGCAGCTTATAGTACCAGTTCATGATTTTCACTCTATAGATGAGATAGCTTGGACTCAGAAAAGATAACTTTATTCCTAAAGCAAATACATAGCTAATAAGTAGCAGAGTTGGGGTTCACATACAGGTCTTTCTGGATCCAAAGTCTCTGCCCTTTACCATCACCAGAAGCAGTTCTTATGCGTAGGACTCACTCCATCCCCATATCGAACCTATTCTTCACTGTCCAGACTACATCTCCATTGGCCCAGAAAAGGGTGTTTGTGAAGAGATACGAAGGGATAGTCAAAGAAAAGTTGAAATTTAGGAAATTGAGAGGACTAATAAAACGATTCAGCTCCATCATTTGATTTCTTTTTATTCTTTATTTAATGTGCTTGTATTAGAAACTACCTCCAGAATTTAGTTTAGAAACATTCTTATGGAAATTGCTATTCTATCACTTGTGAATTCTCAAAATATTTATCCTAGAGCTTATGTTTTAATATCCACTCATGTTTTGTTTCCCCTCCTGCTATCTTCCCCTCCTGCTATCTTCTTCTTCTTCCTCCTTTTTTTTTTTTTACAAGAGATATAAAGCCACATGAATTATGAGAACAACATTGAACAAGTACATATATTTAAATGTCTTTAAATGTAGTTTACCAGCATAGACCTGAGACAAGTAGAGGAGGGTGGGTTTAAATTGAGCTGGACAATTTAGATTGAATGTTGTTAGGAAAATAATTTTTTTTTTTTTTAGGTACTTGGGAAAATTTTCATAGAAGACATGTAATCTCAAGAACTGTCATTGAAAAAGGAATTCTGAGCCTATAAGAAGGGGAAAGGAAAGCTCTATCCTATAGGATGCTCAGAGATGGCATCGCATGTCTCTGGAAGAGGCAAAAGTGAGGCCAGAGAAAGTAGAGAATGAGGGAGGGCGACGAAGGATGTGGAAGCTGAGGGTTCCTGTCTGTTGAGCTCCCCGATGCAGTCGTGTATCACCAAGGCCTCTCAGAGAGAGATACCCTGGTCAAAACAACGGTTAGAGAAAATGCAGGTGTCGGCGTTGTGGTGCATTCAGGGGAGGGCACCAGCTGAGCTGGACCTCCAGCACCGGGTGACAAGATGCCCGCGATAGTGAAGCTGAGAGCGGACCAGTGCCAGCACCAGGGTGGAGGCTGTGAGAATGGGAAGGAAATGATCAATTTGGAAGTGGTTACTAGGTCTCGGACTAGAGAATTTTGATACAGTGGCCATAAGAAATGGCAGTAAAAGGAATAAATAGCTTTGTCATGACCTTGTTTGAGTTGACATCCAGTTGTTGAATTTACGGGAAATTTTAATCTACGTCTTTCAGAATTGAACAGAGGGAAAACTCTTTTCAGATCTTTGAAGTCTCTCGGTAACCCAGCATTCAAATCTTAGCTCATGGTGTTTCGCTCTGTTTAAAATTGTTTGAGATCTGGAAAAAAGAAAGCGTATTGAAAAAAAATGAATAAAATAAACATTGGTTATTGTCCTGAGGGTGTTAGGTGGTAGAGACTTTTCATTATAGAAAACTCTAAAAGATAGAACATGATATTAGCTACATACCAATTTATTTTGCTCTCCATTTTGCATATAATACATAATTAACTTATACAATTTTCTTTGTTCTCCTAAGAAATGCCATAGTACTCTAGCTTCCAGTTTGTGGCTTCCTAGATTATATACATATAATGGATTTCAAAGGGCCAGTTTATGTAAGCCTTCAAATCATAATCTTTGTTCCTATTAGAACAAAATAATGAGCTGCAGATGGGTTCCTTTTAAGAGAGTTTTTGAAAGAAAATAGACATAATCTGCTTGATTAAATTTTATACATAGGGAACTGAGCCTGGTAAGGTGTAGGATGGGGTTTCAGAAACTCCTTTTTATACTTTTTTTGTTCCCTAGGCAAGAAAAATCTCGTTGGGAAGTCCTCCAGCAAGAACAACAGTTAATGGAAGAGAAAAATAAACGTAAGAAAGCTCTTTTGGCTAAAGCTATTGCAGAAAGGTGAGGCACCTGAACTAGGAGAGTTGTTTGTAATCTGCGATCAGTTCTGTCATGTTTTATATTTCTTTTCCCTTGTCTCTCTTGATAAATTGATGTTTTTCTCTACAACATTCATTTTTAATTTTTTTTGTAAAGTAGGTTCCATGCCCAGTGTGGGTCTTAAACTCACAACCCCGAGATCAAGATTCACATACTCTACCGACCAGCCAGGTGCCCCTCTACAGTGTTACTTTTATTTATTTATTTATTTACTTATTTTTTTTTTTTTTTAAAGATTTTATTTATTTATTT